CACTTGCTAGGTATGTGCAATATCCACATGGTTTTGCTTCATTAACTTTGTTTACACAAATGCTTCATAACCATTTAGTAACACAAGATTCATTACTAAGCCTACCAATCTTACCTCTTTACCACACTCTTAATTTTTTGGGGATAAAAAGTTTTAATTTCTATTACTGTTATCATCATCATCATCATCATCATCACTAACATTACTCTATCACTGATATTATTATAACATAAGTTACAATAATAATAGAAAGAAAACTTACTTTCAAAAAGTTAATGGAATGGCAAGGAGGTGAAGTTCGGAAGGCTGGAGACTGTGGTGATAAAACACTTCTCGAGCCATCTGTGTAACCAAAATTAGTAAAAAACAAAACCAAAGTGACCAGTGCATGTATACAAGCACCCCTGGTATCAATGGGTTAATTATTTCCTCTCAAGAAACTGTCACCTAAAACCACTGTTAAGGCATCACGATTTACAAAAGCTATCATATTATCTAAAAGCTATCTCAAATTTAAGGAGCATCAGTGAGCCTCAAGCTATGCAAATTTGATGTTTAAAAACAATGCTCCAATGAGAGGACAGAGAAAATAACGCCAATATTGTTACTAACCTGGCACCGGCTTCCTTAAAGCTGCACATTATTATGATACTATGACTAGGATCATTTAAAAATCCCTCATTGGACCTTCAGCCCCCTTTCCTATTATCATACAGTAAAACCAATGCCAGAACCAATTCAGCCTTGCTCAGGTTTTCTCCAGAAAATTCTGCACATTTTTAGGAACAGCATCCCACTGAAGATATTTACATAAAAATAGATTTGTTCTTGCTTATCTTAGGCATGTATGAAAAACAAGAAATGTCTTCTACCACACAGACTGCTGGTTGTTGCATAAAAAAATAAATCCTTATAAACACGTTTGGTTTCATTTCTAAAAAAAAAGGAGAGTGAAAAAAAAAAAAAGTTAAAAAAATTGTTTAACTATAGTGTATAACAGACTACCAATATTCTATTTATTGAATTGGTAAAAATAAAGAAAACAGAGAGCATCTCCCTTTCAATATTTTTTTGCTTAGTTACTTCCTTAAGCTTTATTAACAACCTCATAGACATAATAAAGTGACATATAATCCAGTTCCTTTTGGTAGCTCTTTAATCAAAAAGAGAATCATAAACATCATTCGCAAGAATGTACCCAACTTTCTGAGAGACTCGTTTGCAGCCAGTAGTGGAGAAAAGGTTGTTCTCTGGAGGAAAATACATCATTTCATCTGCTACACGTCTGCAAAACAGGAAAGAGGGAATTACTATTATAATATCATGAAGTAACTTCAGTGAAGGTATGAAGTAATAAGATAATCCTTTGAACAAGGGGTATGGAACAAGTAAAACTTACACAAGTGAAGATGTTTAATATGAAAAAGCAGACAACAAAGATGCAAGAAGATATCACTTCAGATTTGCACGGAAAAGATGGGATCAGTAAACCATGCTACATAATGACTTTGTAGATGGCTATTACATAAATTGTAATAGTAATATCAACAAATGCTATAACATGATTTCAGTGCTTGTTATTTAATTATGCACTGTGTTATATTTTCTGTCATTCTGCATAGTTTCTGCTCATCATGTATACAGTCCTATCTTGTACCCTCTCTACATCATATCAACACCAAAGAGCATTCCACTAGTAGAATGCACATGTCCTGAGCAATGTCTTTTAGAAGATAGTGAAGCCAGTTTTATCTTCCTTGGTTAAAAATTACAACCAAAGCAAGTGAAGGGAGGTGCCTTTTTCACTTTTTATTGATTTTTCCTTCCTTCATTTTGGAAACCTCTTAGACTGTAGTTAGATTAAAGAGAAATGAAAGAAAAAAATAATGGTACATCCCATCACATTTTAAAAATGTTCAATGAATATATTAAAATAAACTATTAAGTGATATTGATAAACTCCTCCTGCTTCCTCTTCCATCTAATGAAAGCCATATCAATTCAGATCACTCTATGTATATGGAATGTGTTTGACTTTTGAGCATGACTACACCTAATTTATTGGTCAAATCATTATTTTTGTTTTAAGGAAGATATACCTTAATCTAGTAAATGAGACTAAATGTGGGTTTTGTTCCACTACGGAAATGTATTAAGCTATGTCAAAAGACATTTGAAACTAGCACCCCCTCCCCCCACAAGATCCTCAGTCCAAAATATTCCTTTCTTTTTGAGGTGGACTAAAGTAGTCAACATGCTGCCAGAAAATACAAGTCAAAGTAAAACACCAAATCCCAAGGGACATAAGAGTTCTAACTTAAAGCGTTTTAAGCAGGGAAAGTTCTTGCCTGAAATCTCAAGCGTTTTTCCTAACTCAAGCATTTCGCTTGCTCTCAAGCGACCTCCGTAGATGGCTTGACTTGCGCTTGCTAAGTCAAGCGGTGTACCGTCACCAAGGCAACGGCGTCGGTCGCGTACCGTACTGGTCACGATCCTTCGAATGCGGGCGTGGCCAGGAACCCGCTTAATATCTTATTAGATAAATAATTTTTTTATCTGATTCTGTAATTCTTAAAATCATATTCAAAGAAATTGAAATTAACTGAAAACAAAGGAGATAATGGAGATTATGGAATAAGAAGTTTTACTTATGATAATAAATTATTATAAGACGAACAATTTTCCTCTTATTGTAACTTCTTGTCTTTCTAAATCGAGAATATATCTGCTATTTTATGAAATAAAGAATATTTCAAGTGAAAAAGTCTGAGAAATCCTAGCAACATTCTTCTGTTGATATTATATTCGATGATTTGTTATATTTAACCTCATAAAATCGGATATATGGGAATGGGTAGGCCTATTTTAATTCAGGGAATTCATTTGTTTTGAAAACGCGGCAGAATGAAAGGGCTGTCAATCTAAAGTGTGTGTCATTGTTTTAGAAGCACTTTATATGAATATAGAGAAAATAGTTTTGTTAATGTTTGGGTAGATTTATTTACTTCTCTGCCATCTTGATGCGGCGCTAGCTTGTCAATTATTTTGAATTGCGCGCTCAAACTGTTACCAACCGCAAGTGAAATAAACTCCACCCTCGACTCGTACATAAGTTATCTCTTTCCGAGATTGTTGTATTGCTTTTAAAACCCAATATGTATATTTTGTGTGTTATTTTGATATTTCTATGCTCATCAAGGACTGTTATGATTTGTACTTTATAAAAAGACATTTCCACATGTCTGGCATCACTGAAGAAGGCCTGCCTGCCTTGGAAATCGTTTTAAGCAGGGAACGGTACAGCGCTTGGCAAGAATTCTTGCCAAGCGCTCCCCTGCTTAAAACGCTTTTTTCTACTAGAAAAATTGAAGAAATAATCAAGGTGTCAATGTTATCATTAGCTGTTAATCAGCCGAATTCCTCAATAACTATGATACTGGTTTATTAGTAAAGAAGACTTAGCATTCATCAGTGGTATCAATATCAAATTTAGACTTATACTAAGAGGTAGAAAAACATGTATATATATTAACATATAACAGACTAAATACTTTAGTAACAGTAAGTATATAAAACTTACTGTTTTATAGCTTTTGTTGGTGTGTGTCCTCGCCTCTTTAAGTCATCTTCTGTACACATCTCAATGTGGCGGCGTTCAAGAGGTAAGAAGGGCACATAGTGATCCACAAGGCTATGCTGTATCAATTCACTCTGGTGAAGGCCACCTAAGAATGATAAATAAGGGAATGAATGTGTTTGAGTTTGCATGGGGGGTTCATGAATATCTGTCTATCTGTGTGTATGTGTGTGTGTGTTTGATCAATTTCATCCATTGCATCAACTGTTACTAGAATAAAAGTTTTTATAACATTACATATGTTGGCATAGCTGGGGGGTGGAGGTATATACAGTCTCCCTTTGGGATTTGTAAATTGTAAATTTAATATCTAATTTTCAACAGCTTACCATTATCATTTGGAAAATAAAAAGGTAAACAATTCAATCAAGTGAGATAAACCAAGAAGCTTTACAGACCCTCTTTTTCTGAAAGCTTTAGGAGCCTAATCCTTTTACACCACAAGTGTCCCTGCCCTTACTAAACTCCTGGCTATGTGCCTGATTACATGTGTAAGATTTTACTTCTAAAGTTCTCCTTATTGGTGCATTTATTACTTTTCATAGTTCAAATGATCACTTGATTTCATGCAATGAAAATGGTGTAGTTTGGTAAATCTATCTTTCATACCATCTTCATTGAAAGCTCCCTTCTCTATCAAGCTTTCCATGTCTTTCAAAGTAATTTCTTCACGCTTTACTCCATTACGCCACATCTTCAGCATAGTTCTTGTGATTTCTGGTCCGCCAGTGTTACTCAGGAAAAGGAATATGGATTTTCTGATAAACAGAAAAAGGAAAAAGAGTAAGTTTGACAGCCTTTATAATCTGATTAAAAAATAACTAAAGCAGCATTAAATATAATTTTTACGTAACAGAGCATATTAGAAGTACCTCAACACTGTTATCATTATATACCAATAAAAATATTGGATACAAATACACAAAAATATATATACCTGAAATCTACTCCGTCAATACTCTCATGATAATCGATGAATGGCTTTATTGCATCTATCATCCCGAGAGGCATCTTGTCTATTTCATCAAAAACAAAGAGTGATCTCTCACATTGGCTTACATTCCCTCTTATCCAGTCCTGAAGGTGAAGCTAAAAAAAGAAGAAGAAGAATTAAGAAACTGTTTCTAAATCATTTAATTAAATATGAACTTTTGATTATTTCCAATTCTTGCAAAAGCATCACACCACATATATGTTGAATCTATATTTAATTTTCATATTCCTATGTATGTCATTAAAACTATACTCTTCACTAACCTTATAGATGTCACTCTGTTGTTCATGAGGGAAGTGAATAGTACTAACAAAAAGGTGGACATAATTGCTTCTCATGCCCAGCTTGTATATGTTTTCAGCAATAAACCGTGCAACATAGTTCTTTCCTCCTCCTGTCCATCCATGAAAGCTCATCACCAAGGCCTAAAAATTGAAGTACAACTTATGAATATATGTACAATTCAGATATCATTTGGTTTTTAGACAAACCTAACATTAAATTTGACATTCATTGTTTATTGCCATTTCTGTACATTCTAATTTGTGAAGATTATAATTGTATCAACAGTGGAGGTCTAACTTTTCATTAGTTATCATAAAGTTTGCTAACAATGAAATGAATAATAATTAGTGATACTGGTAAACTGCAGCACAATAAAAAAAACAACTGTCCCGAGATGGCATGGGATTCTTTCATAAAGACCTATAGAATATATATTTTTATTATATGAAACTAGTAACTGATAAATGATGATGCAAGATTCATGAATATAGCAAGAATTTAATAGCGGTGTTACTTATGCCAATACAAAAAAAATATAGATCAGTAGTTCTTAACCCTTTGTCTACCATGCCCCCTTTAAGTAAGTGTCGTTTTCTCCATGCTCCCATTGCATCTATAAATAAAATTCCCTCACAGATTTAAAAAAAGAGAGATAAAAAAAAAAAATATAAATAAAATAAAATAAAAATTATATATATATATATACATATATATATATATATATATATATATATATATATATATATATATATATATATATATATATATATATAATATATATATATATAGATGTATATATGTTCTTAGTCTTTCTACTGGGTATGGATTATTAATGTTCTCATTATTTGACCATGCTCTATTTGACCTTTTCCTAAGGGCTTGCCTCCCCCTTGGAAATAACTAATGCCCCAGGTTAAGAACCACTCATATGGATGAAATATGGTATGATGTCAATGTAGCCAATAAAACAGGTCTCATGCAAATTTGCCATTACCATAAAATGTATTGTAAAAACAAGCAGTAAAAATTATTATTTATTACCACACCTTGCTTGGATTATTCTGGGAGAGATGTCCTTTCAGTGCTTTCATAACAACATCTTTCACCAGGTGCTGCCCGTAGAGATGGTGTTGAAAGTCTAGAGCCAATGCTGAAATTATCAAAGGGTATAGTTGAAACATTTATTACATCTTCAACCACTTACGACGGGAACTCCCAGAGGTATACCAAAAACCATGCGCCAGGGTGTGAATGGAGTCAGGTGCTTGGGGAAGAATTAAAAAACATGAAATTACCCTGCTCACAATGCTTTTGGCTGAGGCAGTCCTACCTTCCTTTCTAAGCCTTTTTCTCTCCTTTTTTCTTTTTTTTCCCTTAATTCTCCTCATTGATTACATCTCTGGCCAAACAAGCACACTATTGTTTAATGTGCATAAATTAGAGCAGGGTCAACTGTGCATGATGTGACAACATCACCCCAGTGTGAGTAAGTGTTTGTGATGATGTGATAGGACATCATCCCATTGTGATTGGGTTAAGTGACACGATATTATTATCTGTGTTGAATAATGTAATGCAAGATTTCTGAAAATATCAGTTATATATCCACACAGTAAATAAGAAAAACATAAATTAAATTACATGTCAATATGAAGTCAGTAACAATATGTATTTATATCAAACTACACACTGGTATATTAGTTATCTGAGAATTACTCTGTATATTTAGGCACTTTACTAAATCCTAATTTTCCAGGAAGTTATAGCTGGTCTTATTAAAGGGCATCTTAATAGTACAGGTACAGTGGACACTCAATTTTCTGTTAACCTTGGCACTAGGCCCATGCCTGAGATCAATGGAAATCACATTAAGAAATAAAATTCAATGCTCCTCCAATCCCAATTATATACCTATTGAATTAATGAAGCTGCACTAGCCACTGCAGTGTAAACTAAACCTAAACTAATGCTGTTTCATAAAACTAGATTTTCTGGCACTTCCTGGAGTGCATGCGACTAACTCTGCTGGCCTTTGCCAAAGCCCATAAAGTATAGACACAAATCAGCCATATGATTATGTCTATCAATAATGTATTTGTTTCAAGAGTGTTTGATTTTCAATCTATGGTCAGGTGATAAATACCCTGAAATAATACCATAGCTTCTGGTGTCCATATTATGTGTGATTAACTCAGAAATTCATATACAGATGTAAACAACATAAACTCCAATATAAAAACTTTAGCTCTGGGTTGCTTCCTTTCTGTAGAAGGTATTTTTGTAATATAAATCTTTAATATAGCTATCTACAATAAGAAGTCAATTTCATTCCAATATATAAAACTAATAAGTCTTAAAAAACAAACACAGTTACTGGTATAATCAAATCACTAGACAAAATAACCAATATTATAAATGTAAAGAAAACCAAAAGCTAGTTTATCTGCAGTCACTTTACATATGGTATCCATTGAAAAGCTCAAATAGGCTATACAGTGTTTCCATTCTAGCATCTTGCATGTCTAAATTCAATTGCCATGGTGGCACATAACACTAGGGTATCTGCCTTCGTGTTTCCTTTATC